CTCAATTCAATTTAAATCGGGCCATGTACACCCTTACTGGGGACAAGAACTTAATCAGTGTTGATAATTGTAGCAAAAAAATAAAAATATTTAGGCCTAAATCTCTAGCAGAAGGCTTTCGAGCTCTCCTTGCACTAGTTTGGTGCAAATAGAGATCTCTATCAATCAATTTATGATTATCAAAACCAAACTAAAGTCGGGACTGTTTATGTTTAGTCATTTTTGTTAGGGATGTGACTACATAGGTCAGGGGTTGTTGGACATAGCGCACCCCTACCATGTTAACTGAACTCCGAAGCTTTCGTCAAAGTTTAGGCACTTCATGCTTGCATATTTTCAACTTCATGTCCATGTCAATATTAATAATAACCCATTACAGGACCAAACATCAGCATACACAAAGTTTGAAAAATAAATAAATAAATAAATATTAAAAATAATAATAAGATTTTTTTAAAAAAAAAACGAAGAAGAAGAAGAAAGTAAAGTTATTCCATGGTCAAATTGCTAGAGTAATATAAAAATCAATTATGTACAATTGTCCAAATTATTTTTTTGTTTATGTAAGGTGTTACTTTTTCATTCTCTCTATATATATTTTTTACTTTCCAAATCAATCTTATTTCTTTTAAAGTTTTCTTAAGCTGGTTGGGTTTCTCCATTATAACAGCATGTGCAATAGCATAATATAATCATTCATTAATAATTATCAATAACATTATAAGTTTATTTCTTTGTAAATTTTGTGGATTTGAGTTGCAAATTCGTACCCTTTGTTAATATATGTACACTAAAAGCCCAATGTTAGAGTTTTTGACTAGGAAGTACCGATATTCTACAAGGTCGATGTATCGGATATTTATATTCTTCGAATACTTCTCAGTACATGTTTGATACTTTTTAAATGTATCTACAATTAAATAGGCCTAAAATCATAAAATGCCCTTCTTGTTTCAAAAATATGTCATATAACTCATTGAATTATCAAATAACACCCTAAACTAACAAAAATTATCACATTGTCCCCCTTCCGTAACAGAACCGTTAAGTTATTGTGAAATGACAATAATGCCCTTAATAGTAGATTAATATTTTATTAAACTGAAATTGATAGCGTAAGAAGGACAATTTTGGTATTATGAATTTTAAGATTATTTTGGTTAGCAAAATGATGTAACTGTGCACATTTTACAATCCCGTTAGTTTTATATGGGAAACTAATACGAGGGGTGGTATGATAGACTTTTTTAAATATCAAGGGATAATATGATAGTTTCTTTAGCTGAGAGGGTTAGTTGATAATTTTTGAAAACAATAAGGGATTTTATGATTTTAGCCATTTTAAATAATAGTTTTAATTTTTAACACGTATCAGATATTTTTCAGATACTTCCACCATGTGTCAAATACTTCTTAGATACTTCAATTAAAACACATATTTAACAAATTTTGAACTTAAAATGTGTCTTTTTCGATAATAATATTATAATAGTAATTGTTAAGAAAAGTTTAAAATAATACTTGTTTTATATTTTATGAAATGAACTCCTATATTATATTAGTGATTGCATTTAAATTCATAATATATTTTTAAAAATTGATTAAAACTTAATTATATATTATATATATATATATATATATATATATATATAATTTTTTTATTTTTTATTATTGTATCCTACTCGTACTCATATTCTATTTATTAAAAATTTATCATATCGTATTCATATTTTGCATCTGCATTTGTGCTTTCTAAATTTTTGATAAAATTCATTAAAGGATATAATTAATATTTTCGAGTAAATAATATTATTTAAGTGTGTAGCAAGCACCATATCAACTCTTGGTTAGACAAATTTGAACCGTGAGAAGTTGACGACATTCTTGGCATCTTTGATGAGTGTGAAGTGTGAAGTGTGATGGGATGAGTTTACTTGATGGCATATGGATTTGGCCGTCCAACCGTCCACTTAGATGCTAAGATTTTATACAGTAGGCATTCTCAAAATCTTGGCCCACCAAAGATTCACATTCGATTTTCATGTGTATTCTTAATCCTTAATAATTTTAAAAAGACAAGTAAATCGGGAAGGTAAATATATGCTACTACAGTAGTTCAGTACACGAGCATTAAGTGACACTCTGAAAATATTGGCCCACCAAAATCCTTATTACTACGTAATTCGATTTTCATGTAAAGTTTTTTAAGCTTCTGGTTTGGACAAATTATAATATATTAAAATATTAATGTATTACGTCATATAGCGAATCTGTACCATAATTTTGGAATTAAAGAAAATTTTATTCAAATTTTGAATCAGTATTGTGGGGATTCACCTTGGTCGTATGCGGATTTAAACGGCTAATACAACACACTACAAGGTACTGCAACTAATACATGAAATAATAATTATTGTTGCATAAGAAATTTAAATGAAATAAAATGTCACGCAAGATTATATAACATATGAGATCATAATTCATGTAATATAATGAATGCTGAGAATAACAATTGATATATATATATATATATATATATATATGTATATATATATATATATTTTCAATATCTCTCTATTTTTCACCGACTAATGTAAATTAAAGAAGGAGAGTCCGAGACGCAACTATGTGCATGCCCAGGGGAAATTGCCCCCGTTATATACTCATAAAATATTGCTATTGTTGAACTGAAATTATAAAAAAAATTCATTCTTATCCCTTTGACCTAATGTTCTGATATGCCCTTGGGTGTTGATGCCATGATGGTGATACTATAAGTACCATTTTTGTAAAAGAAAATTAGGTATTTCATTTGATTCAGCCTTTCCACGTAAAAATTATATATGGGAAGAAAGGGTTTATTCCGAAAGTTGAAGAGGAGAGAAACTAATGGAGATGTCATTTTAATGAATCCAAACAAAAAAAAAAAATTGTCATTTTATGGTGTAAAAAGCGACAAGGAAACTTGCTACTATTGAAAAGACAAGAATCGAAAGGAAATCAATTTGTAGTTGATCCTATTCCAAACAAAAAAATTTTACTATACTGGTGGGCTTCAAACCTATGATTCTTTTTCTTTTCTTTTTCCCCCGAAAAACTATGATTCAGGTAGCTAAGAATATATATATATATATATATATATATATATATATATATATATGAGGTTCTAGAATCCTCCAAAAAATAATCTATACAAAGTTCTACATTCCCAAACCATTTTGCTCACTTGCCTAATTCTGTTTCTACACACTTAAGCAAGCAAAATGCTTGTTTAGCTAGCCTTAGTCTTTGCTAAGTACGTTAGCACACCTGGATAGACTGATTTAGCAATTCAAGGGGGCTTAAACATGTCTAAGGCCGCACGTGAGGTTGGAAAGGTCTGACAGTTGGACAGTTGGACTATTATGAACAAAATCACGAAAAATAATGTGCATGAAAGATTTCTACGTAGACAATTTATTTGTTTTTGCTTGTTTCTAGCTAGATGGAAAATAATGGGGGACTAAAAAATATTCCTGTGATGGAAAAAAATGTAGTATTACTACCTGTTAAATTTTAATTCATTATTTAGGTGGCAGAAAAATTTCCATTTTAATATGAGATGCCAATCTTGTGGAGTCATGTCCCAGAGTGGTCTCAATCATTTGGCTTCAGATTGATAATGGGCATATTAATTTGGATTTGTGACAGACAAATTAACGATATTAGCCTAAATCAGAAAGGAAACTGAAATTTTATGTGATTTTATGGATTCAAATTAAGAACTGACTGAATATGAGGAAAGTAAATAGAAAAAATAAAATAAAAAATTTGATATCATGTGAATCATAGGTGAATGTGTTCGAGGGATGTGTTTTAATGGATATTTTTTATAGGTGACGCATTTAGTTGGCTTATATATCCTTGCTCAATATAAATTATTATGTGATTGGTTGGACCATACTGGCCATATTATAATTTTTAATATTTATCCGAAAAAAAAAACTTAATATGAAAGAATTAAAATAAGACAAAATATAATACATTTAATTAAGTATTAGTTGATATTTCATGTGTTTAATCTACGGCGTCTAGCTACTGAATTACACGTATGCATATATACGTATAATTTAACCATGTATTTGCTTATTATGTTGTGTTCATTTCTTCTAACAAGTTTAACAAGTCCGATAAACCTGTACACATTCTCCTTTTTGTGATCCGTCGAATAATATAAAATGTTATATTATATACTGTCATCTTGTGATAGAAAGAAATTAACGATTTGCGTAGCAACTTGTAAATTAGTTTATACTGATCCTGTAATTTTCGTACATTAATAAAAAATGTATCCAAAAAATGTTTTGAAATAAAATTACTCTTAATTAATTATAATATTATTAAAATTAAAAAATTGACTCAAATGAGTGCACTTGATGTCTCATAAAGCATCAGCACTCTTCTAAAGTATAAATAATTTAACTAAGAAAATAGAAAAACCATAATGTTATTCCTAAAAGTTATCAGGGTCAGAACTGACATGCACCTAATTTACTATAACTTGCTGGACTATACTTAAATGGTTAAGAGTTAATTTTTATTCTCTGCATTTTTGTTATTTAAAAAAAAAAATTCAAAAAAAACAAAAACTTATACATACGATAAATTATTAAATGATTTTGGTTTATTTAACACTTAGTAGACTAATTCAATATAAATCCTTTGATTATAAAACTTTGTGTTTTACATTCTTGTAAAATTATTTTTTCAATTCAAAAATTTATATTTAACTAATTCACCAAATATTAATGAATTAAAACTATCTAATATTACTCCATATAAAAATAAAATAAATCTGACTTCCCTAGTTCTTCAAGGATATACACAGAGAACTTCAATAGTAGTATTAAATTATTCCACGGACATTTATTCTCTATCTGAGAGGTTAAAATAACATAGTCAATGTTAAAATAAAAAAACATAAGTATATAGGAATCTCTCTCTCTCTCTCACACACACACACACACACACTCACTCACTCACATAGTTACATACATACAGTCAAACACACACATAAAGCACCTAGAACATCCCACACAGACCATCTCAAACATTCCTTTATCTTCTTTCAAGACCAGTTGCACTGAACGAGGCGATCTTCTCTTCTGAGGATTAATTCCGTTTTTCTTTCTCATAATTAGCGTTTCTTCATCCATGGATACTGCTCAATGGCCACAGGTAGAGATCTATATCACCTTGTTCTTGATCTGTTTGCAACTATATATATATATATATATATATATATATATATGTATCTTTACTTTCATCATACGCATATAGACTAAATCTAAAGTTTCCTTGTTTATTGGCTACTTTTTTAAAGGATATTAATTAGTGTTCATAGTGAAAACTCTTTTGATTTTATTTCACTGCCAGTTTCTTCAATATGATGGAAGCAATTTACTTTCTCGTTCTCTTTTTTCTTGGTGTAATAAAGGGTTGGAAAAAAGATTTAATTTGGAACATATTATAAATTATATTTTCTCTCTTTTTTTTCTTGTTTGCTTGTATGATTTTTGAAAAGTGAGCTGACTTGTTTTTGTTTGTTTGTCTGCTATGCCTTTCTTTTAAATCTGCAGTTCTTTTTAGATAGATAGATCAGGCTGATGTTTCTTTTGTTTGATATTATCTTGAAGTTGAATATGGTTCTTTTTTTATGTCTATTTTGATTTTCTCTGCTTTCCCTTTTTGTTGTTTTTGGCTTTTTAGGAGATAGTGGTGAAACCAATGGAAGAGATAGTACCAAATACATGCCCAAAGCCATCCTCTTCCTTAGAGAGGAAGGTTAGGCCTCAAAAAGAACAAGCCTTGAACTGTCCAAGGTGCAATTCAACCAACACCAAGTTTTGCTACTACAACAACTACAGTCTCACACAGCCAAGATATTTTTGCAAGACTTGTAGAAGGTATTGGACTGAAGGTGGTTCTCTTAGAAACATCCCTGTTGGTGGTGGTTCAAGGAAGAACAAGAGATCTTCTTCATCTAATAATAATTCTTCATCAACAACATCAACATCCTCAGCTTCAGCTTCATTAAAGAAGCTACCTGATCTGGTCCCACCAACAACTTGTTCACAATCTTCTAATTCCCTTCAAAACCCTAAGATCCATGAAGCCCATGACCTCAACCTGTCTTTCCCATCCACTCATCATGATTTCAAAACCATCTCTGAACTCATCCAAGTCCCCAACTTTGATCACAACAACAACAACAAGAACCACAATATGCCTTCTTCTACTTCTTCAAATTCATCTCATCACCTTTCAGCTCTAGAGCTTCTCACTGGGATCAGTTCAAGGGGATTTACTTCCTTCATGCCGATGCCGGTTTCGGATCCAAACTCAATCTACTCATCTGGATTTTCCCTGCAGGAATTCAAACCAACCCTTAATTTTTCACTGGATCATGGGCTTGGAAGCAATGGTACTGCTGGCTATGGAAATCATCTCCAAGCGGTGCAAGAGACTAGTACTGGGAAGCTTTTGTTTCCATTTGAGGATTTGAAACAAGTGTCAAACACAAATGGTATTGATCAGCAAAATAGAGAGCAAGCAGATTCAAATGGGTATTGGAATGGAATGTTTAGTGGTGGATCATGGTAAAGATGAACAAAACTACATATGAGTCAGTCCTCCTTTTTTTTTTCTTAATTTATGGATTTTAATTTGTTTGTGTCTCATGGTGATGAGTGACTTGTTTGGATTTCTTGATCAGAACTAGCTAACAGGTTGGTTACATTGGTGTCTTTCTCCCTTGTGCCTTCATTATTTTACTTAAAATTTTATTTTCTTTTAGTTTGGATCATCATGGTTGGTGGGAAATTTGAAGCTCATTTTAGGTTGGCTTCAGAGAAAAGATGACTTGGGATACTATATAATGCATCATACAAAGCAGAGAGACCAAGAAAAAGCCCAGATTTTGAAGGGAAACTACAAGAGCCCGGGGCTAGCTTGCACCATGCCTGCACCATGCCCTAGACTGCTATTTATCAAACTAGTGTATGTCAATGGTTGGTCTTGGTGGTACAAAGAATAATGTATAATGAGGAATATTTATGTGGATGACACATTAGTGTAATTAATTATCTTCTTTTTGTTTGACAAACAAATATGTTATTGTTAATTTTATCAAATTAAATCAAAATGAGTGGGGGGGTATTCAATGGTGGCTTTGGATGGTTGTTTTCCTCTCTTTCAAATTTTCAGGTTTCATCTGCTGCTTAGTGAGTGAGCAAAGCCATTAAATTAAAGCATATATGTTGTTGATGATGGAGCAAGTAGGAGGTGGAGAGAAATAAGCCAGGTATGAGTAGTCCATGATCTGTTCACATGGCATTGTTCACTAAAGTAGTAGTACTCAATTCATAACATGGCAGAAAAAAGTTGTGTTAATTAGAACCACTTCACCTGCCTCAACCAAAAGGCTTTCTCACCTACCATAGTTTCTAAAACCAGACTAGTAGTAGTACACTCTTTTCAAGAATCAACAAGACTCTCTCTCTCTCTCTCTCTCTCTCATATTTTCAATGAATTGTATCATTGCTTCCTTCCCATGCCATGTTCCCTTGTTCTTTTTTAATATTTGAAAGATTGAGAAAGTTCTGACAAACCCCTCCATTCTTTGGTCTTATTATTGGGGGACCCACAAACATTCCCCTCGGCAAGTGTGATAAGGAATAATCGCCCCCCACTTACTCTCGCTATCCAACTAGATCTACACCCTCCGTTTATTTATTTCTTCTTCTTTGCTGTAAGCCACTTGGCTTACATAATCACCGCCAAATCAATGTTGGTGTACCACCCTATCACGGGGCTCTCTCTATCACGCACTCTCACTATAAGTTATTATTAGGTTACAAATTGACGAATCATTGTCCCTTCCCTTGAGCATTAAGGATGGAACATAGATTCGAAATTTCGTCCCCACGGCCACCAGAGCTTTCGGTTGGAAAGAGATAGAGATGGAAACAGTAATAATAAATCGCACGGTTCTTGTTTACGCGGATCAATTATGATTTTAAATTTATTTGTCTTGACGTACTCTTGAAATGCTATGTCTTCCAAACTAGCTAGGGGAGCACACAAAACCTGTTAAATTGGTAAATCAAATTAGATTATAACTGGATCGATTGATTTAGTTCCATTTTTTTTTTTTTTTTAATGGTTCAATTTGATTTTGTTTTTTAAAATTATCGAATCGTTATATACATATTTATATATTTTATATAATGTATAATATTATATAAAACAATAAATTAGTCTTTTAAAGCAACTCAATTATATAATATAATATTATATTATATTGTTGAGGCAAAAATCTGCGGGATCTGAATATTACAAGACAAAAAAATGACTACGGACACTACCAAGATAAAATACAAAAGAAGTGACGACTGGCATGGTGTCGTTCGAGTGCACTCCAACGACTAAGTTAATATCATTGGTTTTATTTTTCGGTTTTATTTTAATTCTATGACCAACTGATGGTTGGATTCGAGCAGTGTGCGTCGTGTTCTAAACAATGTAAAGAAGGTTCAAAGTTACTAAATATATAACACTAATTTATGAAAAAAATCTTTGAATTTTTGTCTTTTTGCTATTTTTTCTTAATTATTTTGGTGTTTTACACATGTTGGTAGGTAGGGATGGCAACGGGGCAGTGGTGTACCCTCCCCTGCTCCCGTAATCGTTTAGAAACTCTCGTCCCGTCCCCGCGTAAAATCGATTAAACGAGGCCTTTCCATCCCATTCTCGTCACCGTTTAACTTTTTCACTCTCGTGGGCACCGGCTCCGTCCCGTTTAGTTCTAGAATTTTTCTTTCTTTTTAATTTTTTTTTCTTAAGTACAATTATATAACTATTGAAAAAATTCATAAAAAATGGGCAATTAATAATTTAATACAAAATTCAAGGGTATGAGCGTTTTTTAGTTCGCAGAGTTCTGCCGTTCTCTAGAACGAGTGAGAAAGTGAGTGAATGGTGACCTAGAGTTTTTAGAACTAACTATATATACTAATAAAATAAGGATAATTTAGTAATTTATTTATCTAAACAGGACGGGACGGGACTGTGCGGGGCGGGGGTAGGCCCTAAACCTGTGTGTGTTTTCATTAATAAAAATCGTCCGTAACCAAATAAGTTAAATGGTCCCCCAAAATCACTATAAACGGGGTGGGTACCCATCTTTGTTGGGCAAATTGCCATCCTACTAGTGGACCGTATAATTTTCTAATGCTAAATTTGTCAACCAGCTTATAAATATGTGGATGACAAATTTAGCCTCACCGTGCATTTCAAAATTTTATTTGATTTTTTTCTGGGCAAGAACCACGTATTTGTTCCTATTCTAATGAGAGGCGAACCCTTTGCTATATTCTTTGGTGGTTTTTTCATTCCAAACACGTGCATCATTTTCCAGTACCACACACAACTTCTATCTTTTTTGGGATTGAGCTTTTTAGATATTCTTCAAATAATAATGATTTTGTGTTTGAAAACTTTGCACTGAATGGAAGAGCTTGCATGGGCTCCTCCACCATGTGTTGTGAAGTCATATTATTTACAGTTCAGAAATTACACGAACTTCTAGCAGAGCCCACTTATGCTAGAATCGACCATTACTTAGGAGTTGCAAGGATGCTCTTAACCTGCATTTCAATGTTGTTACCCTTTGGCTGGATTGGAATATATAATATTGAGCAAGTCACTAGAATCTGTTGAGGTGGGAGGTAAATGCAAAGGAAAGATGATTTATGACCTTGAGCCGTGTAGTCACTTTTCTTAAGGTATTATTTGACCTCATTTTAATTGAGATTACTATCGGTCCATAACAAAAACACTTCCAACATACAACAAAGCCAAAATATGCAGTGAGCAATGCTAAGTTGTATATAATTTATGAACCAAATACCCTATTTATAGAGTATGAATGTGACTATTCATAAATATGTACAACTCTTAATGAATAGTTGTGTGACTTGTGTCCGTTCAAAATACGTGAAAGGACATAACTTTTACCAACAAGTATTTAAACCATATACAAATTTTCATTCATCTCACTCTTTATATTCTTATATTAGAATATATGTAACAGAATCTCAACAAGCATCTCAATAGATCATTCCAAGATCACATTTTTTTTCTTACAAATCTGCATTCAGAATATTTGAAAATCAAAATCAATATAACCATCATTTTGGCTCCGATTGTTTCACCTTAATATATTTTTCTGAAATCATTTTCCTCATTTTTCGATATTTGGGAGACTCCAAGGTTAGAAAATTATTTTTCGCGTAAATCATTTTACCCACAAATGACTGAAAATGATTTGCCAAAAAAAATTTTGGTAAGTAATTGTCCATAAGTTATCTCATATTCTTATTGAACCCTATATCCCTATAACAACTAAATTTTTTTCAATTTTTCCACTCTAAAAATCTAATCTTGGTTCTTTTCTCTATATATATACATAGAGTGAGATGAGAGAGAGAGAGAGAGGAGAATCATAAAGGTGACACAAATTTGAGTTGGTCGAAGAACAGATTTAGATCGAAAGCATGTTCTGGTATAGAAAGAGGGTGGAGAGAAGTAATGAGAATTAGAAGCAGGGATAATTTAGCTTAAAGAGTGAGATAAAGTAAATAGTTTAGGGGTACCATTCTCTATTACCGAGGAACACTAAAAAAAAAATGAGTTAATTGTGCATAAAAACTAATCTAAAAAATCAACCGATCAAATGGCCCAAGAGGCATGGGTGTGTAGGTAATAGCACCATGTTTCTATATCCATGTCTCAACACAATATTGACATGAAAATTTAATCAAATGCTAATTTATATGTAAATTGCCTAAACAAGTAAAAAAAAATGTTGAAAATAACATATATAATAACACATCGCTACGCACTCAACAGTGTCAGTCTCCTAGCACGCTCTTATCATCAACAAACAGGGTAAAAAGAATTTTTCTAAATTTATTTGTTTGCATAAACCCTTATTACTGCTCTAACATTTAGCGGATTCGAAACCTGCTCCATAGATTTGAATAAATGTTGCTAAAGCTTCCGACGATACCTCTATTACTATTAAAATGACAGATTTTATTAGAAAGTGAGCGCAACTACTCTGGATGTATAACTAGTGCCGTTGAAGAGAACCAAACTGGGCTGTTTGGTAAGAAGAACATGAGCTCCGATCCCTATTTATAGGGAATTTAAGATATGTCCATGTGTCATCAATCAAAGGAGGAATTCTAGATTGGGTTATACTAAGATAATACTAGAGAATTAGGTGAAACTGGTACAAGTCAATCCAACTCTAGATAAAGCTACACAACTCAAAGTGAATTTCATACAAACTCGTACTTTTGTAGAGAAGTTGAGAATGTCTACTCATGGCATCATCTACTCTGAACCTGCATGGTAGTCTGTCATGCACGGCTGGACATTACACCAAGGACAACTTATAGTATTTACCTAAAAAGGAAAAAAGAAAAAGAAAACTTAGTATTAATTCCTTTAAAAAGAGAGTGAAACCCATTATATTATATTGTTGACCCAAATAATGACCATTAGGTTTTGCTGCCCTAAAAATAAATAAATAAAGTCATGAAAGTTATAATTGGTATTTATAAATTACTTCAAGATTCTTCTACTGAAAATTTTAGTAACTTTAGCATCTTACTATCTGAAAAATCACATAAGATAGGTAATGGTTTGATATACCAACTGGTCACCATATCTACATTGGTTAGACATCACAACTGAAGACCATAAAAAATATATATATAAAAAAAAAGGTCTAACCATCCCTCTAATCTTTAGAATATTATCTTTATCTTTATTCTACTGTGGGTTGGGCTTTTGCTTCCCTGTTTTGGGTTGGACTTTATGTTAAGTCCTTTGTATTGTTCACTGTTATTGGTCTTGGCCTTTGTATACTTATAATTCAATATATATACCTTACTTTCCGAAAAAAAAAAAATATTACCTTGTTCTCGATCAATTAATTAAACCTTGACTCAATGAGTCCAAATGCAGCTTGTGGGACTGTTAATATATTCCAAATTTGCCTTAATGTAGCGGCTTTGACTTTGTTCCATAGCTCAATATCAGGAATTTTAAGATCATAAACAACTTTTGACTTGCAAACAGAATTCTATTCAAT